GGGGGGACAGCCTCCCATCACCATGGATACCGGGGGACCCGCACCGCCCCCCGACGCAGCTCGCGGGAGGCGAGAGCCGGAGCGGGTTTGGTCCGTGGGGAGGGTCCAGTCCCCAGCGCCACCCCCAGGTCCCCATGCTGATAGCGGCACTCAGTGCCTCTGCCGGGGACCCCAGCGGTGCTCCTGCTCATTCTAACGGGGGAATCATGCTGGGGGCCCCAACATGGATGGGGAGGACCCCCATCTTCCACCCAGTGTGAGGTCCTTAGGGATGCTGTCCTGGCCCAGCTCTGGCCCTGCTCCGCTCAGCTCCAGCTTCTCCATCATTTCCAAAATCAACAAACACCCTCTTACCATGGTCTTAAAGTTTTGCTTTGGCAAGTCTGGAAGCCAAATATTTTGAATGTAGTGCATCTTTCGGACCCACGCCATGCAGGGGGTGGGTGCACGCTTCTGGGGACACTCATGGAGTGAGCAGTGCATGGGGACCTGCTGGTACTGGGTTGCTTTGATTTCCACAGTGAAAAAACATCCAGGAAGAAAAAAAACCCATGCGGGGGAAAAAGAAATTCCTGGAAAAATCCAGGAAAATACTGCTTGGGTCTGGGCAGAATCCAGGCGGAGATGTCAGCCTGTGTACCTGCGGGGGTCTGCAAAGGGGTTTCTTTAAGGAGGAGAGAGCTGATAATTGAAATTTAAGATACAAAAAGCCACGTAACAGTAAAACATTTAATCAGGCACTCGGCACAACACCATGTCAGCAGTTCTGGTGGGAACCCTTATGGCCACAGGGATGTCCCCCACCATCCCAGTCCTGGATCCCTTGGGATCCCCATCACCAGCCAGGCGGGAGGGATGCAGCTGCACACCCAGCTCCCCCAGTGGTAACCAAACCTCACACTGCACGCATCCTGGCTCCTCTGCCTCTCCAAAACCGGAGATTCCCTGGCTCTGCGGCTGGCTGAGCCATTCCATTGTGGAGGAGCCCTGCTGTTTGCTTTTTTTTAAGGAAAAAAAAAAAAGAGGGATTGGCTGCCTGGTGTCAGGCTGGGGACAGAAATAGCGGCATAGCAGGGACTGACCGAAGCCAAACCACTCTCGCAGGCAGAGCTTGCCCAGGCACCCCCAGACTCTCTCAGGCTTTGGGGACGGGTTCCTCTGGTGACAGCAGCAGGTCGAAGGGGACGAGGGGCCGCACCAGCAGCCGGACCTCGGGGCCGACGGGGTTTTCCCGCAGGTTGAGGCTCCGCAGCGATGCCATGGAGGCCAGCTTCTCCACTGGCACCTCTGCAAAAAGAGAGCAGCGAGTGGTCAGCATCCATCCCAGCATCAGCATCCATCCCAGCGTGGGCTGCCAGGGGATTCAGAGCAGCAGAGGGGGCGAGAAACGTAATAAAATATTAAATTATACGGCTACTCGATCAAATGTCTTGGCAAGGTGCAAACACCATGATGGTAAATGTGGACACTGCCCTCCAGTCCTAAAAAAACCCCAACCCTTCTGGGGTGCTTAACTGCTGTTCAAAGACTTATTCCCTGATTTTATTCCCAGTGTTGCAATGCCCAGGAGCCCTCCCCAGACCAATGGGAGAGCACGTCCTCTTTGCCATGTTGGACAGGCTGCAAAATGGCTCAGGGCCGTGGCCGGGCACTTATTTTGTGATTTCCATGAATTTGGGTGTTTTCCTTTAGAAAGGGTTTCTAAAAGAGCCCCTTTTTATGTTAAAAAAAGATGCGGGTCTCATGGATGGTCCCCATGTGAATCCACTGAGAGCAGAGGAATGACACCAATACAAAAATCTAACCATTAAGATCATTAAAAGATGATAGATTTAACTTTTTTTTACAAATCACAATATTTTGGGCTTGAAAAGCCCACCTGCCTGAGTTTACCAAGAACAATTTATTTTTAATTTGGCCAGCAAAATAACCAGAGCCTTTTAGATCCCCACCTCTGGTTTCCTCTGCCAATACCTGGAGCAGAACCGCAGTAGTGTAACTATAGCTTGGCATGTTATGGTATGATTTTTCAACCATAAAACTTATTTTACGCTGGAAAAAAAGACTCAAACACCTGTATGGCTTTTTTTTTTTCCCTTTCCCCTCCAGCAAGCAGTGCTGTATTCTGCAATATATTTCACGGCAGTGCATCTCTCCCGTCAGGCTGAGCCTCACACAGTTTTTTCTATACCTCTTCTTTATGGTGGATTTGTTCACCACCACTCCTGCTGTATCATTTTGCATTCCTTTTTTCCCTTGATACACAAAAATAATTTTTTTTGACAGATGTTCCTGTTTAATTGTCTTCCAAGGCTACGAAGAGTGATAAACCCCAACTGTGCTTAAATTTAGGAAAGTGTTTGAGGGAGCAAGCCTTGCCCAGGGTGGGAAGCTTAATTCAAGGTAAGGAGCAGCGACTTATCACGAGGCGCGAAGCAACAGGCGGGGCACGTGGTGCAGCCTATAGCTATATGTCTGTGCCATGGGAGACATAAACTCCTCTATAAGCAACCCAGAGCATCATTTTCCATCTTCCCAATGAATAAGGCACTTGCATTTGAGCTTGAATTATTCATGCTGGCTTCACCAGTTATGCAAAAAAAAAGGGGGGGAAAAAGGCTTTTTCATAATTAAAGCAAACTAATTTTCTCAGATCAGAATGTGATAATAAGCGAGTGGAAAAGTCAGCTTCTTCAGACGAAAGGGCTGCTGAGGCGGCCGAGGAGCTGGGTAATGAACACTCACAGCCCCCAAGGTCTCGCAGCCACGCATGGCTGCAAATTGAAGGGGGAAGGACCCTGCTCAGCTCAGCTGCTTCCTAGTCATGTTTCAGCGTTGCCTGCATACTTTAGTGGCCACCAGCTTCCTGGCTCCTCTGTGGCTATTAATGAAGATGCATTTTTCATGCTGTTATCCCAAATTTTGAGTAGCTCTCTTTGATGCTCAGGAGGGAATAATTGTTCGCAGTTGCCCCTAGCAGCAACCTGCCCAGCTTTGGTAGGGGTCTCCATCGTCCCTCCTTGGTGTCTCAGCATCTTCTGCATTAAACCACTCATCAAGGAATAAGGGAATGAAAAACTGAACCTTGATGCACTAGAAGCCCCTGTGGACTCAGGAGCTGGATTTGATAGCACTCTAATGAGCAGGGAAACACAGACATTAATATATCCATAATCACACTCCAGAGTTAAGAGCTCATTGAGATGAAGAGGGCAGTTTATGGCACTAAATGTCTCCTTTCAGAGCCCATGGACTGCAGGCAGGCATTAATTAATCTCCTCTTACACCTCACTCCCTTCAGCTGGAAACCATGACCCACCATCTCCAGCTCAGCGTGGCTTAGGAGGTGACTCAGCCCTCTTGAGGCAGATGCTTTTATCTCATTTGCAGCCCTGCTATCAGCTCCTCCAGCATCACCAAGAGGGCAGAGGAGGGCAGGCAGCACCAGGTTTGCAAAACCCAAACCATTTGCAACCTTCTTGCTGGTGGAGCAAGCCCCAACCCTTCCCCAAGCCCCATCTCCCACCCAGTAGAGCATCCTTCTCTTGCCTGCGGAGCAGGGTCTTCCGCTCATTATTGGCATAAATGGTGCAGCCTGGGTCTCAAATTATAAAAGGCAGCAAAATGCAGTCTCTGTGTTCCTGGGACAGTGATTTCTTGTGCTGGCTGGGGGTGTGAAGGTACTGCTGCTGGGGAACAGTAGCTGGATGAGGTTCCAGATGCCTCAAGAGCTTCTCTGAGGATGTCCTAGCTCCTTCTCTTGAGACCCTGCTGCCAAAACAGGGTCTTCAGCCAGCTGGAGGGGGTGAGTTGTGCATATGTGCAAGGGAGGAAAGAGAAAATGCTGTTTCTTGTAGCCTAGCCTGCAATTTCCTGAGGTGATGTGAGTATGAAGGGCTCATATCCTACTTGGCTGTTACGGAAAATCAAACTTGGTGCTGATTAAATTCAAGCTGCTGGGCTCTCCTTGCCTTCTTGTCCCAGGCTAATATGGGAGGAAAAGATGAAGATATAAATACAAGCTCATAAATAAAATATAAGCCTACATTAGTATATAAGAAAATGTGTATTTATGTAAATGCAAACTTACGTGTAGTTAACTGGCACCTAGGCTCATCCCCCAGCCCAGGTGCAAGCTCCCAGGGAGCCTGGTCCTTGTGCAAGCTCAGCCTTTAGGATAATCCAGGAGCTTCCACCATGGACCCCGGAAGGTGAAACTGGGGATGAGATGCTTTTCCCTGGCTGTGAAGGGTTTGGGCTGCTGCAGCTCTGAGGATTCTCCAGTCCCTGCGAGGCCATGGCACGAAGGAGCCCAGGAGGTACTGGGAAAGGTACATGGGAGTGAGGCAATTGCCCAAATTTTTGTTTCCTTGGAAAAAGGGTCTGTAACACCCCTGGCTTTCTCATTTCTGCCTCTTCCCTTTCCACAAAAATCCATAAAATAGGCTAATCTTACCTATTGCTGCAGCCAGACAGCATTGTATTCATTACTAAGGTCTGTCCCTGAAACACTTTAGCTTGAAATTATTAATTTCTTCCCTGTCATTATTTTCCCCAAGTTGGATAACAGCAGCCCAGGGGAGCCTGGCAGGAGGTGACCAAGCCTGGCAGATGGGTTTCTAGCTGCTCTCTCCCTCAGGGTTAATCCAGCTGGGTCCAACCCTTGATGCATCCTTTCCTCCCTGCATTTAAGAAGAAAAAAAGAAAGCTGTATTTCTTTCCTGCAGCAGCCTGCTTGCACAAAATGAGTGGGAAAAATTAAGTTTGGAGCCCTGGCGTCCAGTTGAAATTGTCCAATTAAGCTCAAAAAGCGATGGAGGAAGCTAAGAGCCAGACAGCTCTCTCTGGGAGGTGGGAGAGAGAAAAAAAGGGGTGACGAAAACTCATGTCTTTTGCTGTGATGTCTACAGCAGTGATATTGAATGTCTTGTGTTTCTATGTGCATGGCCAGGGAGCAGCTGATGCTGCTGCTGAAACTTCTGCTGTAGGGAGCAGCTCTCCCAGCAATGGCTGAAGCCATCCCAGATAAAACAACAAAATTAAATGCTCTGGGTATTCACCTCCCTGGGGATTCATGTGGGCTGTGGGATGCTCCAGCCTGAGGTCTGTGGAAGCTGGCTCTTAAATAAATCCCCTTTTATCTGCAGGCAGCAGCTTCCCCTTTTGCCTGGCTTTTAGGGACTCCAAAGGCTTCAGCCTTGTGCATGAAAAGTGTTCTTCTGATTGCAGGGCTGAGGGATGAGCAGCTTTTACTTTTCCTTTAATTTTTTTAGGAGATTTTGTAGTGTTATGACCCCTGTTTGAAGTGTTCATGTGAGCTCATACTCTGTCTTTGCCTGGCAGCAAACATCCCAGCCCAGCATCCTTGGGGCTGGGCAAGAGTAGAGTGTGGGCAGGGCTTTTTTTTTAGTTTTTATTAAATATGGTGATTTTTGAGTCACAGCTGATACTTCCTTGGAAAGCCATATCCCAGAGTGCTGAACAGGGCGGCTTGAATGGGGCTTGATCCCCACTACGCCTGCAACAGCTTCATCCCAGGAGGCAGCACAAGCGTTTGCGAAAGCAGCTAATGAGGCTCTGCCTATTTAGCATCTCCCCTGCTCTCCTGTGCCTTCCCCCTTGCCAAATTCCTGCTCCTTTTGCTGAATCGTGAAGCCATCCCTCACTCTTTCTGCTTCCGCAGGGGATGCTGGACCACGCCAGCATTCCTAACTGCCCAGGGATGCAGATGAGCATCGCCACCAGGAACTGCGATGACTCTGGGATGATGCTCGTCCTCTCCTCCAGCTGGAAAAGCTCCTTCTTACCTGTGATCTCGTTTTCTTCCAGGTCGATGGTCTCCAGGGCGGTGACAGCAGCCAGGGGCTCGGGGAAGCGGTGGAATCGGTTGCGGGAGAGGTTGATGGTGCGGAGGTGCAGCAGGGAGGTGACCTCCTCGGGCAGGCGGTGCAGGTAGTTGCCTGCCAGGTTGAGCTCTGAGATTTGGGGAAGGGAAAGGTGGTGGGATGGGGAGGGAAAAGATGGGGAAAAATAATTAACGCATGACTTAATTTACAGCCTCTGTCTCCCATGGGCCAGCAATGGGATTCCACCTCCAAAAATGAGATGTTTTCTTTTTTCTCATCTCCCTGGTTTGCTGTTGTACTTCTGCCTCCTGTGAGTATTGCGTTTACGAGTGATGTGTTTCTCGGCTTCCTTGGGCTTCCCTAATGAAGCCCGTGTGGCATTTCTGAAGCAGCAGCTGTAGAAATGAGCAATAGTTCCTTGTGAAGTCAGTGCAATTCCCCTGAAGGACATTTGTCATGGCTTAAGGCTCTTTACATGCCTGAACCCCTTCAAGGTATAAACAGAGAGGTGGAAGAAATACATTTATATGCAAAAATAAAAAATATTCTATGAGTTTAACCCTTTGTAGTGCTTCCCCCCCCCCCCCCCCCTGAAATTATCTCCAGTGGGTCTGGGAGCAGCATGAAAGGCCATGAGTGGTGGGGCTAGGCACCCCAAACCCTGCTGTCCCAGTGCCCTTCTCCAGTGACACAGGGCTTTCTGCTCTATAAATATACACACGAGCTGCCCTGCCCCTGCTAATACCTGGTATTTTTAGGTCCTGCCTTACTCAGGCTGGTGCAAGGCTGTGCCGAGCCCTGGGGCATTGCTTCCCTGCAACAGCCCAGGTGAGACTTGGCGCATTCATCAACTGAGTGACTTTTTCACTAGTGGAGCAAAAATCTTGCTGGGAAATGACGGGGGGGAAAAAGTCTCAGGGTTTGTTGTGCTGTCTAGAAAATGAAAATTTATTTCCTTTGCTCCATGTATTTCTTTTCTCTGTCCTAGAGGAGCTTTCCTGGATGATGCTTCAGCTCTGGTACAACCTCCCCAGGCACCCACCCCAGAAGCACTTGTGCAGTACATTGGATGAGCAAAATTATTTTATTTTAAAAGCTGCCAGAGCCCTGGGGTGATGCTGCAGGCAGGCAAAGCCCTACTGCCCTCCCCAGGGTTCAAACCCGGGGTGCTGGATGCTCTTGGTGCTTGCGTGACCATGTTTTATCCGACAAGCTTTTGTTGGGCTCTGCAGGGATGTGTCCCCATGGCAGCAGCCGCATGCTGTCCCTGTCTCCTGCAGCGAGCAGAGGAGCCAGCAGCAATCCTCGATGTCTCATGATGGGGCTAATTAGCCATCAGCAAGCCAGCGTGCCTTCCGCAGCCTGAAACACCCTGTATCTGCCACCCACCAGCACACCTGCCTTCACTGTCCTTTTGCATCCTCAGTCCCATCCCTGCAGCAGCCTGGCAACTGGTGGGGGTGGCAGGGCAGGAGTTTGGGAGGGTGGGTGAGAGCAAAATCAGTGCCCACTTCTTGCAAGGGCTGGAAAATGTAAAGAAAAGTGGATTTTTTGGGGGGTCTGAACTGTGCTCTCAACTTATTCCAAGAAAGAAAAAAACAAAAAACCAACCAAACTGCAATGGGGAAACTGGTGCTGTGTCCCCTCCATAGCAATCTGGGGGGTCTTTGGTGGCCCTGGGGGTTTGGAAGTGGTGGGGCTGTCCCTTACCTCTCAGCTGGCTGAAGGTGGTGATGAAGCGGCTGGTGAGAGACTTGAGCTCGTTGTTGGCCAGGGAGATGTGGTGGATGCCCTCGGTGACGCTCCTCATGGCTTTGTAGATGCCCACGGGGAAGGTCATTAGCTTGCAGTTGGCCAGATCTGCCCCCCGGAGAGACCCAGGTGACTTAGAATGGACCCAAACTGGGATGGAGCAAGGCTTTTGGTCTTGTCTCCCACCCCTTAGATATTTGCTTGTCTGGGTGCTGCCACCCAACTTCAGCAATCCCCCTCCCCTAAATCCCCCTTCCCTGTGTCCTTGCCCCCCTGAGGAAGGTTGAGCATTTCAGGGACACCTCTGCTGCTGATGGGGATGGAGTGGGGCTTTCCCTGGGCTTGCTCCTGCCTGAATTTTTGTGGGGAGGAGAAAATGATTTGTCTGTGCTTCTCACCCCTTGGTATTTTTGTTTTGCTCTGAATTGTTTGGATTTCCCCTCCCGGGACATGCCCTGTATCCCAGCCCTGTGATGCTCAGCCCAGACCCTGCTGCCCGCTCCCCTCGCCAAAGCCATGGTGGGGGCTGCACAAGCTGGATCCTCCCCCACCTCTCCTCTTGCTCACTCTGACGTCAAGAGCCTGAGCGATGAATCTCTGACTCTCGGAATACTCTGGTTTATTTCCTACATGAATAAACATCGGGAGCTTTCATCTCTCTCTGCTGCTGACCTGCGTGCGGGTCTCGGATATTAGCTAGAAATGAGAAAATTGCAGAAAAAATGCAAATCTGACAAAGTGATGCAGGGAGAGATCTGGCTCCTGCCATTGCTTGCCAGGAAGGATTAATCCCATGGGGCGCATCCCATGGGATTATGTGCCATGGCTGGGAACCCACTCAAACTTTGGGGGGCTCAGAGCCCTTTGGGGGGCTCAAAGCCCTTGGGGGGAGCCTTTCCTGTCCCTGGGGGTGCAGGAGAACAAGCACAGCACCCGGGGGAGCCAACAAGTGTTTTTTTGGGGTTTTTTTTTTTTTTTTTTTTTTTTTTCGAGCTGGGGCGTAAAAAAAAGGTACAAAGATCCCTGCTCCCAGACACCCGATCCTTCTCGGGGCCCCAAGCAGGAGCGGAGCTGGAATGCCGGGCTTACCCAGGGAATCCGTTTTGTTCTCCACCGTGTCGTTCACCTTCCGGGCCACCCGGGCCACCGCCTCGCCCATCCTCTTCTGCATGTGGGCGCCCGGACCTGCTGGGGCCGCGCTGTGACCAGGGGGATCCACGGCCAGAGGGAGAAACAAATGCTCCAGCCTCTTGGGAGAGGGATGCTAAAAATAACCAGTGGGATTGGCGTGCCCAGGGGAGGAGGGAGGGAGGCTGTGCTGGGGATGGCATGGCCCTCGGGGTGGGGGATTCCCAGCTTGCCAGGATGGTGTGTTTGGGATATAGGGATGTATCCCCTTTCCTAGTTTGGGACATGGGGATGTTTCCACTTGCCCTGTTTGGGATACAGGGATGAATCCCATTTACTGGTTTGGGACATGGGGATGCATCCCCTTTTCCTAATGATTTGGCATGTGGGGGTGCATCCCCTTTCTCATTTTGGGATATGGGGATGCATTTCTTTTGCTGGTGATCTGGGGCTTACTTGGCCCTCAGGGCACAGGATTCCCAACTTTTTGGGTTGGTACATTTCAGATGTGGGGATGCATCCCCTTCCCGGTGACTTTGATCAGCTCAGCTCAGCCAAAATATTTTGTTAGCAGGCGCCCTGGATACGACGACCCACCTTGCGCACGCGGGGGGTCGACCCCACCAAAAACTCTCTTCCCACGCCGGGAGTCGAACCCGGGCCGCCTGGGTGAAAGCCAGGAATCCTCACCGCTAGACCACGTGGGAGGATAGGAGCAACAGCGCCTGCTCCTGCCCCCTGCCGGCGCCGGGGTTGCGCTGCAGCGGGAGGGAAG